CGAGCTCCCTCTCTACAGGGCGGCGCGGATGATGAGGACGGCGATTTCACCGTATCTGTTCACGAGGGCAGGCGGGAGGGGCGCGAGAGGAGGGAGCAGGGCTGTCTCACGGGTCTCACCGAACGGACGTTTCGTGTGACGTCAGAGCGGGCGTGGTTTAATCACGTCCTGTGAAAGATTACTCACAATAACATTATCTTGTTGTTGAACATTAAACACCGATTTTCTTGGTAAATGTAAGCTTATACACGATCCTGTTGTAACTGATATTTCATGGTAAATGTAAGCTTACATTATCCTGCTGCTAAACATTTAAACCACTCATATTTATGACAAATGTTATCCAACGCATTATCCTGTTAGTGAACATCTAGAAACGCTGATATCTCATGGTAAATGGAGCTTATATTATGCCATATAAAATTTAAAACATTGATTTGCATTGTTAGTGTACATTATCCTGTTGTGGAGCATTTAAAACACTGACTGTGGTGGTGCCAGTTTACATTATCCTGTTATTGAACACAACCACTCAGATTTATCTTGTGACCCTTTAGTGGGGCCTGACCTCTAGGTTAGGAACCAGCAGAATTAACTTACTTCATATAAAGTCATTAAAAATAACTCCACCTCAATGAACTGTACCAGTAAAATACAGCTTACATATTGAAGTATTAATGTAATATATTTTATCTCAGTCACAGACTTCTTTGACTTTGATATTCTATTGTACTTGAAATAGTACTGCAAAACAAAGCATAAAATAGAAATACTCAACTACTTCTAAATTATACTTAATTCACTATTTCAATAAATGTTCTCATTTTTCACCACTGTAAAAACATTTTCATATTTCAATTACATCAAAAATCAACCATATTCAAAATATTACTATTAAGTAAAACTGACCACCTATTTGTTACATCTAGCTAACTAAACTCTATAACAAAAATAACATTTATTTAATTTACCCGGCCAGACCTTAGTATAAATTCAGTTTCACTGCTGACTTTTCTACACTGCCAGGCATTAATTTTTTCTTTTTTTGCCTTGAACCAATAACATCTTATAAATATTTTGCCATAAATAACATCAGAATGAATTTGAGTACAACAAAAACTCCTCATTGTCATACCCCACCCCATAAAAAAGAAAAAACACACACACAGCTTTAGTTTCTTCAGTAGTCAAAGGACAAAGTATGATTATCATAACTTATAAAACAGTTTGTGGTGGGGTTTGTGGTCACACTACATAGCAGTAATAAGTGTAAAATACCAATAAAAGCTTCTATTCCACACATCACATCTGGACACATTGCTCTACTTGGATGGTCAAGTGCAATAAAATCGGGGTTGGACTTCTACAGTGGACACTGATTGAAACCAGCAGAGCAGCTGAACTTACAGACACCATCCATCAGTGGATTTCCTCTGACAGCCAGACTGAGATAAAACCTCTGCACACATGCACCTCTGCTGCGATCTACACCTCTTCGCCCCAAAGTTCTCACAGTGTGACACATGCAGGCACCTACACACACTTAACAGCGCCATCAGTAATCAGCAGTTTAATCATATGAGCATGTGCACGTGTGTGCGTGTGAGTGACGGGGAATGGTGGTAGGCTGGGAGTGAGGATTAACACCAAAGTATGCCTGAGGGAATTTTGACAAAATTATGCTTTCAGTTTTAATTACACTAATGCATCAAACACAAACATGAAGACTTTTTTTTTTTATAACCATTTAATTTGTATGCACCCATTTTATATAAAAAACAATAACCCTCAGTGGTGCACTCGATAGCATCAAGATCCCACAGGTTCTATCTGTAAATTGATGTATAAAGCAGAAAAAAGGTACATAATGAAAACAGTTTAAACAGTGCATTAAACTCAGGACAGCATTTTTTTAACAGTGATCATTTCATCTAAATGAAAACAATTATCAATAACACTAATAAATGAAAAGCAAATCAAGATATGAATCACTCAGTTCTCATGGAGATTTTAGCATGTGTTCATACGGTCTATCTGAAACATGCACACACCCTCACACACACTCAGGAATGAATTTTAAGGTGAGAGTGACAGAGGTCAATCAAGAACAAACATACTGTATATAAAAGTAGGCAGGACAAAATGCACCACTCCCCCCTACAAAGAGGGCCCGTCCCCTTCAGTTTTCATGACTCGTACACACAACACAAGCATGCAGATTTACTTTCATGGCTGTATGTCCAGAATATTTTCAGCCAGGCTGGTGAGTTTGCAGTCCTCCAATGCTTTGACCAGCCGGCTCAGCTTAGCCGCTCTCCCCTCCGCCTGGATGAAGCGGTTGAGCAGCTGATAGGCTTGTTCATACAGCCCTTCTCTCTCATACTCGTAGGCCAGGTTGTCTATGGCCGGACCCTTCAGAGCCCGGCAACTCTTCCCCAGGGCCCTGCCTACATACTTCCACTGACGGCCCACTCCATTAGAAAAGCTCTGAACATCTGCTGCTGTCAACATTCGGTCCTCTGACAAGCCACAGGATAAAAGAAAAACCATTCAAGTAAACTGTACTTAACTGTAATCACATCAGCTATGGTTTATGAACAGATGTACACTTAGCTGGTAGTTTATTAGGCACAGTTAAAACTAATGCAGCCTAATGCAATAGTGTCCAATAAATTCTCCTCCATGAACACGATCGTGTTCAGGTTCGTGTTAAAGAGGTGTTTATTCAACTGTATGACCATTTTAGAAGCTGTGCTGTGTGCTGCTGTTGAACTGTATTACACTATACTGACTGGTGTTTCAATTATTTTGTTCACCCCATTTATATAAGTGATGTTAGGCTAAATAAACATATGTAATGTAGTACAGCTCAAGAGCAGCACAAACTACAGCTTTCAAAAGTGACCATACACCTCTTTAACCTGGATTTATTGCAGCACTGTTGTGTTAGACTGCATTAGTTTTAGCCAGGCGTACCTAATAGACTGCCACCGACTGTATGTGTAAACAGTAAACATTTCCCCTGAATAACTTACATACTTGCTGTTAACATTAACAGGAGCTTTTGCTCAACATCTTCTTTAAATTAAATGTGATGTCTTCACAGCATTAACTAATGTTTTTGAGCACCTCAGGACAGTGGAACAGCCTATAAGCACAACACTGACATATCATCACCTTATACAGCTAATTTACACATCCAGAAGACAAGGGCAACATTAGCATTAACATTCCGCATCACCTGACAAATTTAAGTCCAATAGTCTTCTTTTGGTTATGTTTAGGTCCCTAACCATTTTGGGGGAAATATTTGACTCTTCAACTGTTCAACAATTAGTCCCTAACTTTGTCTGTTGGCTATATTGTGCTGAGCAGGTAGCGTTCAGTGGATGTATCAAAGGTTTTTAGATGATGACAGCTGCCTGCTGCTGCTAACAATGGCACTGATGAGAAAAGTTGCAAACCAGAAAATGAGCTGAAAGACACTAAAGAGCTCTGCAGAGCTGAGAGGAGCTGCAGAATCAGTGTTGTCACAGTGAGCTCCCCCCCAAAAAGGTTTTACACATTGAACAATAAGGCTTGAGGTGTTTGTAGTAAGACTCACAGGCCAAAGTCTCTGCCTGCTCTTTGCTGTTTACAAACCACCTTAGACATTTCCCTTGTACCATCAAAACCACCAGCATCAGTTTAAAGAAGAAACAATCTCATTAGCTGGTATAAATGTTCTTCTAGTTTCCACTGTGGCTTCTTTTGGCTACACAACAGTGAGTCTTGTGAAGGACACTACACAAGATTTAAAAGTAAAAACTGTTGTTGTGACTCACCAAACACTCTATTCTGAAATTTGAAGCAGTTGCTGGGCACAGGAGACTCTTCCTGAGTGATGGTGGTTGGCTGTGGTGTAGAACCGAGAGTCTGACTCTGCAGCTGCTGCTCCAGGCGATCGATCTCCTCATCCCGAAGGCGCGACGGCTGACGCAAAAGGACAAAGATCACTTAAAGTAACATAAAAGATAACATGCGGGTGACAGCTATTACTTTATTTGACATCTTTTATTGTTCATACGTGGACTCAAGTTTGACCTCCTATGTGGTTCCCAGCCATTTTACTGGTCTGTCAAGACAATGATTCACCTGCTGACTCCAATTTACCCATGAATATTAAAAAACACTGACTGTGCTTATTTCCATACTATATATTAACTGTATACAGTATTACTATAAACTAGCTTTCAGTCTCAAGAATTTATTCTACATTTTATTACAGCAGGAAATAATACAATCTAAGCTGTCAGTAGTTTGACAGCAGGTTAGGACACAAATGCAGGAAGCAAGCGGCTCTAAATTACTTCATGAATCAGACGTTAACAGGCAGAATTAATAATGGACATCTTCATTCACTGCTGGCTACATTCATGGATGCAGCTAAAAAGTTTGAAAAGCACTACTGTACTGCAGCTATCATGTCAGATAAAACCACACTGGCAGGATGGACACAGTCGCTTTCTACAGACCAGTTAGGCCAAAACAAAACAACAAAACCCCCATCCCCACCATGAAATAATCAATCATGAATTCAAAATCAGGCTGAATAAAAGAAGTGAAAACAACAAAACAGAAACAGCATACCTGTGAAATGTGGATGTGCTGTAAACAAAGTTCCAGCCTGTCCAGATAGAGATCCAGGATGTGTGTGCTGGCCTTGAGCTGAGTTTCTACCGTGAACTCCTGGGGCAGAGCAAGAAGGCGGCAGGCATGCTGGGAGAGGGACTGACACACTGCTCCGGAGCCATAGCTCTCCAGGAACTGCTGGCATGCTGCCACATCTACAAACTTCACCTCCACCCCCAGGAAGGGATCAGCGTCATGGACCTTCAGAATCTCGTAACCACTGAGACCTCCTGCAGAGTCTGAAGATACATTTACATTTAGAGATGATTCTTCTATCTTAGTCTGCATACTAGACAGGTCCACACCAGTGTGTCAGTGCTCACCTATAAGTGTCAGCTTGATGACTTTGAAAACAAAGAACTTTTTCTGTTGATCTTTGTAGAGCGATAGCAGGTTAATGCCAGGACAGAGCGACTGCAGAAACATAACCACACATCCTGTCCACGGCCCATGATCCACATTCTTGTCTGCCATCCTCTGAATACAATTTAAAAAACACACAATGCATTGTCTCAATAGTGAGCAGACATCATCAGAGACAACACAAGACAGAAACTACAAGTGTAGAGTGATAAGTTAAAGCCAAAGAGGAACTGTCATCTCCACAACAACAACACTGAGTCATGTGACAGCAACAGTATCTGTGTTTACTGTATGAACAGCTGCTTCTCTCCATTCAAAAGTCAAATGACTTTTTCACCAAAAAATTGATTTCTGTTTCTATTCAAAGCATGGCCTTTTCACTCAGTCTCATTTCAATCTGATTCATTTTTCTATTTTTGTAGCACCTGTCTGACTGCTGTAATTCCAGATTAGATGCTACAGTATGTATAATTTTATCATTATAAATTAAGTAAACAAAATTAATCCAACTGCAGATGATGCAAATTAACAGAATAAATGAGAGCTAAAAGGTATGCCAGGGTTAATGTACATTTAACCAAGCTTACGTTTTATACCACCAAATTAAGTTACTTACAAACAATAAGCTAGAGAATATGAAAAAATACTAAACACTAAACAGAGTAAAGATTTTCTGCTTTCCTCTGTTTGCTATGGGCATTTGTACAATTTTCTTCTGATACTTTTCCTTTCATCTGAGGCAGCAGATACAGATTCCAGTGACTTCCCACCAAAATGATGAAGAAAATAAATCATATAGCCTCACTAAAACTAACCACCTAGACAACAGACAGCCAAAAATGTCTATTCCTAAAGCTAAAACTACATCTGTCCTGGTAGTCTCTACTGTTGTGGCCTCACTCTACCTCCTTCTGAAACCCTCATTACATAAAAACATGTTTAATCTCATCAGTCCTCCCCCGGAGGACTGATGAGCCCCTCACTCCTGTACTCTAGATGGACCACTGAAGGTCGCTCACTCTCCCCTGGTGTTGTCTCCATGCTCAGAACGCGTATCTGATTTATGTGCAAGTCCTCAGATTTCACCAGTGTACTGTATGCTTGGCTACCGGGTCTAAATCCCCACAATTTAGCCAGTATGATATTATATGTGATCCTTTCTGTTGGCACTGTGGAAGTACTGTGTACGATTAGTTCTCCAGCTGTATCAGGATTATGTGATAATGAGGAGCTTAAAATATATCACTTAGCTTTTGCTGCCAAGAGGCAAACTCTAGTGTTCCCTGGACAGCTCGTCTGACATTTAGGTGAAAAAAGGAAAAAGTTTTCTGCTTCCTAATTGAAATGTGCAAACTTTTTTCCAAGTATGACCTTTAAAAGAGCAGACTGGCAGTGGTTTTTAACATATTTAGCCATTTACAATTTATGTTGCCATGCAAAAAACTGACTCAAATAAGAGAATATGGCATCATTTTCTAGCTAAATTCATGCAGTGCCAGTGCCACATCTTACAATCCGGAGGCAGTCAGCAATTTTAGATATCATTCTCATTTTCAGTGGCCCAGAATTAGCAAAAACTGATTATTTTTGTTTTGAAAACCTTTTGGTTACCACTAAAGCTATTTAAAATAACACAAAACAGAGAACAGCAGAACATCCTCACACCTGAAAAAAAATGGCCAAATTTTGGCATTTCAGAATGATAAATGACTTATATTATTAACTTATCAAAATTGCTGATGATTAATTTTCCGGAGTTGATCATTCAAGGTGATTAAACCCCACATTTAACAAATATAGTGTCCCATTGTCAAAGCACAAAACCCAACTCTTTGATCATACAAGTGTCCTGAGATGTTCTGTAATGTGAAAGCCTGCAAGGACTCAGGCTGAAGTTGGATGAAGCTATTCTGAGAATTATAGGACATCACCAAACTATGGAGGTGTAAGTTTGTTGTAGCCTGTTGCAACAGAAGAGTGAGGGAGATGTCGGTCAAGCAGTGTGCACAGTACATGACGACTGTTCAAGCAGAAGAAGTGAAAACATGGGTGTGGAACTGAAAGGAGAGGGTCACATTTTTCAAATCCATCTTAATACTCACAAGGACACAAAGAGTTACTACTAATTTAACTAAATTAATTGTTTTGGGGTTTTGAACTGTAGGTTGCACAAAACAAGCAATTTGAACACATCAACCGGGCTCTGGAAAATTTCCAGTGGTGACAGAAGTACTCAGATGCTTTACTCAAGTAAAAGCAGCAATACCACAGTGTAAAAATACTCTGTTACAAGTAAAAGTCATGCATTAAGAATGTTACTTAAGTAATAGTACAAAAGAATTTACATCAAAACATACTTAAGGTACCAGGAATTTAAGTACTCATTATGGAGAATGATGCATTTCACATTAATGTATATCAGATCATTGAATTACAATTATTGGTGCTTTACTGTTTTTGTCACTTTAATGTTACAGCTGGTAAAGGTGGAGCTAATATTGACTTCCTCATACTTATAAATTGAAGTAATTTACATACTGCTTGGTAGCTTGTGAATTTCACACTGAAGATCAATAATGTCTGATGATTATACTGTATTTTGTTATATTCATTTGATTCTGAAAACTTGTAACTAAAGTTATCAAACATATGTATAGAAAGTACTTTCCACCACTGCATTTTACAGATTAAATGACTTATCAGAAAGTAAATGACAGATCAACATGATTACAATGGCTGGCATGTGGGTTTCCCTTATTTTCATCCATTATGTACACTTACATTTAAAGCTCTAAAGCATTAAACACAGTAATAGAAAACTGATAGAAATATCATCATTAAGAGAATAAATTAATACTTTACTAATACTGGTCAGCGTAATCCTTCCTCTTGTCTATACGGGCCACAAAGAGACACATTCCTTAATGCTAAGCATTACAGAGTGAGTTGACCAGCCAGAGACAACATGTGAACCGAAAAAAACATGTGAACTGATCCTTTAAAAGAATGGCAGCTTTTGTAGGTGATACTCTACTTCTACTGCATTTCCACTACTGGAACCTAAGGAGCGGTTTACCCCATACTTCACTCCACATAACCTCACGGGTTGATGCTGAGGCCCCTCTCACACATGACAGTCAGCTGAGCAGAGGGAGAACAGAGGATGTGAAGGATCACTCCATTGTGCAGCAATCAGCCAGTAACAGAGACTGTATGAGCTGCTGAACAAGCCTTCCCGTTTTGCCTCTAAACCAACAAGTGAAGTCCTCCTTTTACCTCTAAACCAGTATAAGTGCCTCTTTACACACTGTGCTTATAATGCTGATTCTTGAGGTGTGAAGAGCGG